ATTAGGATTGTGGCCCGCGGTGACAGTTACCAAGTACACTTATATTTGTTTACTAAATACATTTTATTTAAATAATGAAATTTTCGAAAGAAAAGTTGTACGATCCATTTCTTGGATCAATCATTAGATCTGCATAATCTTTATTTCTGATCATAAAAATTAAGCAGTCTTTATGTGTTTGTTACCCTACAAAGACCCGCGTGTGACCCTGCGAGGATTCCTTCTAACATCAGATATATAGAACAGTAATAAGAGAAAATATTTAAAAGTAGCCAATATTAATATTGCGAATATTATTTATGCAAAATTATTTGACTTGCGCTATACATTAAAATCATTGAGATTTACAGAACACATTTAAAATACTTTAATTAAATCATTATAAAATCCCTCAATAGTGTCTAGTGTTTACTAATAAATTATAGTCAATAAAGTTTTATTGTTTGTTTAATTATTAATGCACTAGTGACTCACTCTTGCTTCGCTCGGGCTTGCTTCTAGAAAAACAAAACAAATATATCCCACGGGAACCGTATATTTTTCCGGGATAAAGGTAGCCTGTATGTTATTCTGATGTAACTATATTAGCTACGAGTATGTACCTATATTATTGTAAAAATTCTTTAAAATCCATTCAGTAGTTTTTGCTTGAAAGAGTAACAAACATCTAGACATCCTCACAAACTTTAAAAAACAACAAACATTTAAAATATTAAGTAGAATATTAAGAAGTAGGATGTAATATCTGGAAAAAAAAGAAAAAAGATTATTATAATAAATATACACTTAACAATTAAATATCAAAAATAGCAGAATTTTACCTAACATATGTATATGTTAGTTACAACACTATCGTATAGTAGATTGTTGACATAGATTTATTTGATCTATATACATATATAATAAAATTGTAACAAAGCAGAATCTGTACATTAAATATTTTTTTGGAAAATCTTATTAAAATAGATATTATTATCGATACAGAGGCCGAATCTATGGATTTTAGAATTTTTGTCTGTCTGTCTGTCTGTCTGTGACCGCATCACAGAAAAATTACTGGAAGGACTTTCGTACAATTTGGTATGATGATATCTGGTTATCCGGGTCAACATATATAATATAGGATACTTTTTACTGCAGGAAAATATCTCATCATCAGAAATCTATACTAAATGTTAAAACGTAAGCAGAGACGAACCCGAGCGGAGCGAGGGTGTGTTGCTAGTCTAAATATATATTTGTAATGTAAGTGTAATTCTGAGATATCACAATGGTATAAGCGTATATGAAAGAGATTTATTAAAGCCGCGCTCAGACGAGTTGAATAAGTCGCAGCTGCGAGTGACGAGATGAGCTGCTTTGTAAGAATCCACTCTATTTACCAACGCGACGCCGCATCTGCTCGCAGTGGCTCAGCGACCGTCTCGCGGTAACTTTGGAAATAGGTCACTTTATGACTTCTTATTACATATTATACTTAACATCGAACTTTGCCCCGCAGGTCTAGTACAAACATAATACTGTGTATACTTTTGCATATTCCTTAATATCTTCATTAATTATCTGAATTTAAGAGTATATCTGGTTTTGTCTGTCCGTCTTTACAGACTTAGAGCTACAGATACGGTAGGATTGTTTTTAGTAACTATTGCAGCTTCTTCGGGATGCGTTTGAGTGAAGTGAGTACCGATTCTTAGTCGAATATAATATTATGTATATTAATTTAAGGTATTTTTTAGACTGTTTATAACAACACAGCAACTTTTTAAATATACATTTATTATACTTATTTAAAACCTAAAATACATCTAAATTACCATAAAAATAAAGAATTATGTCATTTTAAGTCTCCCGCTTAATAAATGGTCGAAAAATAAAAGATAGAGCCTTGAAAGCTATTTAAGAACGCAATCGGAGTAAAACAGTGTAATTTTATCATAAAGCCCGCGGGCGGACGCGGCGCGTCGTTGCCTCGCACTTACCATACAGCTCTGTTCCAATTTCTATACAAAACTGAGACCCACATTCAGAATAGACGTAGCAGTTAGATTGTTCTGAATTAGTGTTTTAGCAAAATTTACATGAGAGTAAAAGAATATATTAAAATCAGTATATGTCGCCAAATACCCTGTTCATTGGTATTAGACGAATATAACATGAGACGTAGATACAACACATATCATAATAATTATATGTATGTAACTGTTAAACATATGATTTACTGATTGCTGGTAATGAACATATACTGATTTAATGTACGAGGGTCTGGTCCCTCGCTAGTGGCCTCCAACCTCCCCTATAGCCACCCCGAGCCTCGCTAAACTGATAACTGTTCTGATTTAATAAACTGATTTAACTGATCTCACATCACTGGTCTGATTTATCTGATTTATCTGATAACATGTTAACACATGTCTATACTGAATCGAATACTCTGAATCTGATTTCTGATCAAGCAATCTGCTCACACGCAATAACATTGTATATTCACAAACTGGTAAAATAAATCCACTTACTTGAGAACACACGGTGTTACGCCTGATCTGCCTCGCTCGCGTCTCGACCGCGTCTGAGTCAAATCTCAATCTATCCTATCGAACTCTTTTCGTACTACCGTCACGTTAATGACAAATAATAATTTGAATGATTAAACATTTATTTCGCGATTACCCTACGGTATTCGCGACACTCCCCGCCAAAAGGAAAATAAAATTGCTCTGATTTAACTGATTACAATTAGTCTTTAATTTTCATAAACTGATTACAAATCTTAACAGAAACAACAATCATCTGATTTAAAATATCTGAATAAATTATAATTCATCAAATAAAATTAACATAAGTTGAGAAGTCCATTTTTTAACTCTGTCCCTGGCTTTCGTAGCTGACACTCTGCTTGGTCGTTTGGAATTACTGGGCGCTGAATTTTTAATTTCACTGGTTGCTATTTTACTTATTCCAGGTTGTTCTAACTGACTTGCCTGTATTGATTCCCTTTCAGGTACTGATACTGTATTCATGTTATCTTCAACTTCAAGAGGATATAGATGACTTATTGATCGAGTCAACGTTTCTCCTGTCGTTGTATTAATTTTTGCAACTTTGATATGTCCATCCGAACCCTTAATCAGCTCTTTTATCTTGCCAACTTTCCAGTTTACTCTACTACCTTCTGCTTTTATCTGAACTATTTCACCGACCCTCGGTACCCTGTCAACTTATATAACTCTTGCTTGTCTATGTCTGTTTCTTCGTTCACGAAGACTACATAAATATTGATTACTAAACATTTTCACAAACTCCTGAAGAATAATCTGACCACGTTTCCAACTATCAATTAGGTTATATTTAGTAACTGAAGATGGCTCTAGAAGGTCACGATCCGATATCTCGGTCGTAGTTGTTCCTCCGATTCGTAAAAAATCTGATGGCGTTAAGACATGCTCTAGTTCAGCTCCACTGGACTGGTGTCAAGGGCCTAGTATTAATGATCGCTTCAATTTCTTTTACAACTGTACACAACTGATTATAGTTAAGCGAATGTTTGTCCACCGTTCTTTTAAGACAATGCTTTACTAAGCCTATTAAACGTTCACAAAAGCCCCCAAATCATGGAGCTAATTCAGGTATGAATTTCCAACGTATCTTATTCAAGATACAATAATCAGACGACAATACCTCTGACGTAAGTTTGAACTGTGTGGCGTTATCGGAAATAATAAAATTGGTTCTTTATCTAATTCGGTTGTACTTGTCATATCTAAATTATGTATATTAATTTCATTCTCAACTAAAGTGCTTTTATTGTTTGTATTCTCATTCGAGAGACCCTCCCCGAGAGAAGAGATTTGCGTTTCCACTTGATATACACAGTTATTAGGCATAGAAAACCAATTTTCAGAGTTATCTAGTAAATAGTCTGGACCTTTGAGCCACCTATCATAATGATCTATTCGGTCAGATCTCGTACCTATGTCTGCTGGATTGTATTGACCGGGTATATACCTAACAATTAAAGTTTTATTTTGCTTGATTTCATTAATCCTCCGCGACACAAAAGGGCAAAAGAAGCTTACTAGAGTGGTACCAACCTAAAACTATTTGACTATCGGTCCACAAAACCTGCGCCTTTATACTTAACCTTAAATTTTTATTTACGTACTGTAATAGTCTATTTCCAATAAGTGCTCTAAGCAATTCTAGTTTTGGAATCTGTAAATTAACTTGCTCCTTAATAGGTACTAATCTACACTTGCCAATAATAAAAGTGACAATATTACTAGTACCCCAAGAACTACGTAAATATATACATGCAGCGTATGCTTCCGTAGAAGCATCAGTAAAGCAATGTAATTCATGTCTCATTTTTTCACTAGCCCTGGTGTTACCTATACTTTTTAAGAAATATCTGTCAATGCTGATATTTTTAAGATAACTAAACTTCGATATTATTTGCTTCCACTCATTAAGTAAATCACTATTAATCTTAGTATCCCATAAAATCTTTTGTTTCCATAACTTCTGGAAAAATAATTTAGCTGGAAGCACTATTGGAATAGCATAACCACAAGGATTATAAACCGAAGCAATTACTTTTAAAATACTTCGTTTTGTGTAAACTGAATCTAAATCTGTTTGACTAATATCATATTTCAATAATAATTTATCATCCCTCGTATTCCATATTAAACCTAAAACTTTAACTGCCTCAATATCTGTACAAAATTTATCAGGTATACGTGAAAGAAAATCTTTTGAATTTGAATTCCACTCCCTTAAGTTCATAGACAAATTGTTAAAGGCTAATTTAGACGTGCTGTATAAGTTTTGTGCCTCTAAAACCGATTTAGCACCAGTTATAATATTATCTACATAAATATCGTCGGCTATCTGGTTTAAAATTGAGTTATTAGATTTCATTAAATGGTATTTTATTGTAGCATTGAGGAGAAATGGACTAGATATAACTCCAAAAGGTACTCGACAGAATCTTAAAGTTAATATATTTTCTTTGTTAACTGAATCATTGATATTTTCAGCCAAAGAAAGCGCGTCACGTCTTTATCTGGTTCTTGAAGACCTAATTGTAAAAATGCTTTTTCAACGTCTGCTATAATGCCAATCGCATGTTCTCTAAATTTAATCAATAGCGCAGTAAGATCTTCTAGCATTAAGGGACCTTTATATAAGCATTCGTTCAAACTTTGATTTCCTATTGTTTTGGCTGACGCATCATATACAATACGAAGCTTATTGGGTTTATCTCGATTATAAACACAATGATGTGGTAGATAGTGCACAGGATGACTCAGTGAAAAGGAAGCGTTTTTGACTATCTCTATTACACCATTCTGTAATTGTTCTTGAATGACTTTATCATATGACTTTATAGTTAAATTATCTAAACGTTTCAATAAATTACTTAGACGAACATAAGCTAAGCCTAAATTATTAGGTAAATTAGGAGGATATTCGGCCCAAGGCCATTTAACGTGATATCTATTGTCTTCGTACTGAATAGTTTTATTAAATTGTTTAATCGCTTCCTCATACGAGAACATTTTGGAGAATCTACTATTCCTATAGATTCTAGATCCCATAACCTTTTAACATCGTCTGTCTTTAATGGAAGATCCGGTTTATGTAATTTACTATCATAAATTCCTGTTGATTGAAAATAGGTTAAAACTGATAATTGATCTAGCGTATTTGTTTCGTTTACTCTACCTGACCATATCCACCCAAAATCTGAACTTACTAAGAAAAGATTATCAGAAATACATAACTTTCATTCGATATAAATGTATGATAATAATTATTACCTATTAAAATGTCTATTTTATCTCCATAAGAACCATCATCTGCTAAAATGAGCTTGTTTAATCTACTGTTTTGTAATAATTTCGCTGAATTATTAAATACTGGCGCTTGTACGGAATTAGTAATATGAGGTACTACATTCGCGTATATAGATCGCTTTACACCGATTCGCGTCTTAATTATAAAATTAACTACACGACTTTTTATATATTGTGGAGATTTCGTACCAAATGTAAAAATAGACAAATCTACATTCTCTATAGTGGGCAGGTTTAAATGATTTGCAATTGATGATGTTATATATGAACGTTGGCTACCAGAATCAAGTAATAATCTACAAGTTTTCTCTTTAGGCTTGTCACTCAAATCACTAACTTTAACAAGGCAAGTCTGAAGGAAAGTGGTTGTTACTGCAGAACTAATATGCAGACTATCAGTTTGCGACGATTTTATTAGCGGGGCTGATCTATTGGGACATAAAGCACGATTATGGAGGCCAAATTTATTACAATGCCTACACTTGCGCTTAGAAAAGCAATTCTTAGATTTATGTCCTTCACCAAAGTAATTATAACAACGATTGCCTAAATATGATTTTCTATCTTGTACAGTTTTAAAATTAGTACACTCGTCATTAAAATGATCTTGTTTACAGAATACACATCTTTTTATGAACTTCTTATTAGGTGGCTCATCGGTTTGATTAACTAGATCACGGGTTCGTTTTCGTGAGAATAATTTAAATTTATCATTAAATTTATGTCCTACCCTAGGTCTTTCCCTATTCATAGTCATAAAACGATTTTTATTACTTCTATTGTCTTCAGTCCTTACATGTAATGAACCTAATGTAAATTGCTCTGCGTTTAGCTTGTTTTCACTGTTATTACCTTCTATACATGAACTTTCTATTTCTCCCTTTAATCTGTTGGACGTTTCTCTTGCAGATATTATATACTCTAAATACTTTCTTATAACATCAATAGATTCATTTTCGTCAGTCATTTTTAACCGTAACTCATAAATAAGATCTTCTGGAAATTTCTCTATAATCATTACTCGAAGATGGTTATGATTAACATCTTCGCCCAAAGAGCTAAGAACCCTTAGATGCCTTTCAATCTCATTTAATACCTGTCTACACTCTTACTGCTTTACTTGCTGATTTAATTCTATATAATGCAACATAATGAGCATCAATAATAACGCTTGGTTTTCCATATCGTTCTTTTAATGTTTTAACCGCTATTTGATAATTTTTATTAGTTGTATCTAATCCTTCAATTGCCTGTTTAGCGTCACCTTCTAGAGCCGATTGTAAATATAATAACTTATCAACATCACTTATATTCCTATTATCAACGTTTGATGAAAATTGATACCACTTAAGTACATTACCATCGAATTTTGCTAGTTTCATTCGCGGTAACTTACTGACTATATTTTGATTATCATCGGACTGTGGTACTTTTGTTCTATACCTATTGTTTAGACAAACATTTATTTCTGCTATCAAATCTTGAGCCTTAATTTGTGTCGCTGTGTATTGACTAATTTCTTCTAAGTTGGATTCATTAACTGATTTACAATAATTATGTATTTCTATAACAAATCTATCAACTGCTCCCTTTAATTTAGATTCAATTAACTGTAATTCATTTAAATTAAAATCACTGTCCATTACTCGTGTATACGCACATTGAGCTGAATCTATATACGTAAGAAGAGATTCATGAATAATTCTAAGTCGGGTTCGGATGACTTCTTCCATTATGAATACAGTATTTAAAATTCAGTATCAATAATCATATTATATTGGAAACTGTAACAAGACACAAAATAATACTAAATAAATAGCTTACAAAATCCTATCGAGTTAAATATTAGCCAGTTTTCATATTTATTATAAATTAAATTATATGAATAATTTTATATTTCATTTATCATGTTTTATTTTATTTACAGTTTTATTCGACTTTTTTTTGTTCAATAGTGTAAACTTTGAGAAACACTACAGACTTTTTTACTACAAGTACTGTTTAATTTATGTAATCGAAAAAAAAACATGAATATTACAATATAAAATAAAATCGTTGATAAAAATAGGTACTGTTAAATAACAGTATAATACATATTAACTTAATATTTCTTATACTAATTACCTTTTTAATATCGACATTATATAATTTTAAAACATTTAATCTCTGTAGAATCATAACTGCTTTTAAAATTAACTATTTATCATTTCAAATTCTTTAGAATTAAAACTTTCAACGTTCAACTAACAATTATTGATTATGCTTTATATATAGGTACATAATATATATACCTCATTCTAATTTCTTCTTTCATTTTAAATTAAATGTTATTTATAAAAAAAAAAAATTATGAACATGTAGGTACTCGTAACAGAAAACGATATTCATTCGATATTATGCGGGTAAACTGCTTTACTTATAACCATCACGCGATACTATTTATAATTATCAACCGACGTTTGAATTTTTGAGAATAAAAGTTAAAATATAATATTCTATTGATTTACTATTATCACTTTAGAATATATTTTTTAAATAATAATAAATGTCAGATCCCAGCACCTCCACCATGTCGCCAAATACCCTGTTCATTGGTATTAGACGAATATAACATGAGACGTAGATACAACACATATCATAATAATTATATGTATGTAACTGTTAAACATATGATTTACTGATTGCTGGTAATGAACATATACTGATTTAATGTACGAGGGTCTGGTCCCTCGCTAGTGGCCTCCAACCTCCCCTATAGCCACCCCGAGCCTCGCTAAACTGATAACTGTTCTGATTTAATAAACTGATTTAACTGATCTCACATCACTGGTCTGATTTATCTGATTTATCTGATAACATGTTAACACATGTCTATACTGAATCGAATACTCTGAATCTGATTTCTGATCAAGCAATCTGCTCACACGCAATAACATTGAATATTCACAAACTGGTAAAATAAATCCACTTACTTGAGAACACACGGTGTTACGCCTGATCTGCCTCGCTCGCGTCTCGACCGCGTCTGAGTCAAATCTCAATCTATCCTATCGAACTCTTTTCGTACTACCGTCACGTTAATGACAAATAATAATTTGAATGATTAAACATTTATTTCGCGATTACCCTACGGTATTCGCGACAGTATAAATATTATAAATGTGAAAGTTTGTGAGTATGGATATTTGCTACTCTTTCACGCCAGAATGGCTGCACTTATCTGGATGAAATTTGGCACAGAGATAGATTATAGTCTGGAATAGCACATAGGCATTTTTATCGCGGAAAAATGTACGAATCCCGTTGGATAGGTTTGTTTATCATCATCTCGTAATACTTCTTTAATTTACGATAGAAATACCTTACAATTTTAAATATTTAATAAGAAATTTTAATATTTCTTCCTTCTTCAAATTGTATAATGGCACACAATATCTATAAGCCCCCGGTGATTATATAATTACTTTATAGCATTAGTTTATTTCATTCTGCTACGCATAATATATTATAATCTTACACGCTTTATGTTACAATACACCCGTAAATATTTATGCTCGACAATGCTGAGCACGTTATTGTTAAAAGTGATTAATTATTCACTTTTTTATAGATATCTAAGGAAATAATTACTGAATTTATAGTAAGTTTTTATTACATTAAAGAGAAGTTGTGATATAATTCGTAATTGTTGTTATATATTAATAAAATAGTAAAGAGATCAAATAAAAGATGCTTGCAACGAACGTGTTTTATCAAGACCAAAAATAATGTAAAAACAGATAATCAACAATGTACATAACTAGCGACAGTTTTAAATTTTATCTATAACAGTAATATTGCAAGGATGTGATTTAAAATCATGTATTATACCTTTTTTGATTGAGTTTTTAAAGAATACTCTCTCTCTCTCTCTCTCTCTCTCTCTCTCTCTCTCGCTGTCTCTATCTCGAACTTAACTAATAATTTAAAATTAATTATCATTAAGCTCAGAATGCATTAGGATCGATTTTAAAATAAATATTTACAGACTACTTAACCTAAGTGTTCCAGTTACCTACTATTGGCGCAGAGAGGGTAAAGGACTTATAGGGGTTTTCAAAATAAAAATGTTTCATCAAACACTATGCAGAAAATATACTTTTAGTTATATACAATTGTCATACAAAGCTTTAACAGCGGATAGGTTTTACTTACAAAAGGATATTATGTTAAACGTATGTGTGAGTAGCTCTCTAGTAGGTCGTCGCGCGACGCACAGGTTTCGTTGGAGAATATCTTTTCATGTCTAAGCTCTAGGAAGAGCAAAATACATTTAATTAATAGCATCCTTATAGTAAGATCTGCAGTAACAAGATAACGTGCAGCGCGAAGTATGAACAAAACGGCTTCTGGATTACGGAACGGGATTTCTGAAAGTTACTTTATTTAATCTTCTTATTTAATATTAACGAATAATTAATGGATTGTGGATATATAATTAAATTTTATTTTGTTTTCTCTCAAGCAACTTTAGAAGATCACGTCGCCTGCGGTTATTGAACAATATTTTTATTTGTTACTCATCGTCTTAATCCTAAACAGTATATTACTTATTTACTCTTAGTCTAAATCATCCCACTGCTGGGCAAAGGCAACACCATGTATTACTTTTAGTATATGCTTGGCTCAGTTTGTAGTTACCCTAGTTGATGTGCCAGCGGTCG